TTATTTTACACTTTAATGCATGAAACTTTGTAGAGTTTCTGTGTTTTTTCTTTTTCAAGGAAAATGTAGGTACATATTGATATATTTTTATGTTGGTAATCGGACGATTTCGTAGGAATGACAACAGATTACTCGTCAAGGTCTTACCGTAGACATTACTGCTATTCATGTCTAAACAGTTGCCGAGTGGTCCTAGTATAGAATAGGCCGCCCCTTCCTTTCCCGTGGGTGTCGTAAGAGACGACTAAGGAAGAGGGAGGGATGGGCAGTCGTCCCTCCTATAACATTTCCAAAGCCTAACAGCGGTTGCAGATCCGCCTGCCAAACGTGGGAACTACTGGCAAATCCCTGCTGTACATAAACCCCCCAAGGGGGAGGCTGTTGATGAAGATGATGTAATCGGTCCATTTCTTTCCTCGTCAACAGTGTACTTACTGATTCTTTTTGTATTTTACAGACACGAGGCAGAGTTAACAGGGTTTCAGTATAAATTAAAAGATACAAAAAAAAAATGAAAAATAATACCTACCGCAAACATAAATCTTTTGAAAGTACAAAAATAAAAACCAACTGCCCGTATTCCGCGGAGTTTTTTAATTACATTGTTCCTTTAAAGACGCTCAAAATGTATTATTTACTTAATGCTCTTATAGGCATTTCTTTCATTAGCAAAAAATTGTGTTTAAGCTGAATCTTACTGATAAAATTGTATTTTGACGACGTCTGTCCGATGTATGGGAGATATTTAAGAAAAAAATATGTAACTGGTTTTAATAAAACTAATTAAAATAAAAGCAATAATTTTTAACAGACTAATAAAAGAAGGAGTTTTGCCATTCAGTTGCTTTTAATATTATTTTAATCGTTGCTACGCAATTTCCAATGGAATTGTACGGCGGTGATTATCTGTATACATACATACATACATATCTGTCACGCCTGTCTCCCTTTAGGGTAGGCAGAAAGAATGGAACGCCAAATGCTTCGATTCAAACAAACCTCTTTCGCTTCTTCCACATTCATCAATCTTTTCATACACGCTCGCCGGTTACGGGTACTTTTAATTTGGCCCTTCTTCAGCACGTCGCCTATTTGGTCGACATACGTCCGTCTAGGGCGGCCCCTACCGACATCTCCATTCATTCTTGCTCGATAAATCTCTTTCGTAATTCTTCTTTCATCCATCCTCTCCAAATGACCAAACCAAACCAAACCAACCGTATCTGTATACTATTTAATATATTATGTGTGTGTGTGTGTGTGTGTGTGTGTTGTGTATGTACATTTACTAACATTAGTTTTAAGAATATTGTATATAATAAGAATATTGTATATAGTAATACTTTATAAATCCGTCAGTTACCGATTTGGAAAGTACTTTTTTATCTGAAAGGATATATATATATATATATATATATATATATATATATATATATATATATATATATATATATATATATATATATATATATATATATATATATATATATATATATATATATATATATACATTTACGTAGTACGCACGTACGTTGGCGTAGCGTAGATATCCAGGTTGTCAAACACAAACGGGGCAAACACTACGGCGTGTAGCTGCTCGCCTAGAAGAGTTTGGGACAACACGAGATGCTGCCGTGGTGTGCTGTTCATGTTAGAGGAATCATCGAGCCCTACTTTTCCGAAAACGGTGCAGGCCAAATGAAATGATGATGAAATGTATGTATGTAAATGTATAAATAACTCAGCTATACTGTATATTTATTATATACTAGCGGCCGGTTCCGGCGTCGCACGGGTGGACATTTTTAACATTTCCCTTCACTACTCTGCTCCTTGCAGCAAAGCAGACTGTCGAGAGCCTATCTTTTATGCGGAGTTGCATCCGGATAGATATATTCGTGCGCTTTGCTGTCCAGGGAATTCTCAGCATCCTTCGCCAGCACCACATCTCGAGAGCATCAATATTTTTCTGCTTTTTAGCTCTTATTGTCTATTACTCGACTCCATTTAAAAATATCGAGAAAATAAAGTAGAAGTACGGACTAGTCTTATTTTGGTAACATTTGTGATTTATCCGATCATTCTAAATGCACGTTAATTTAAAAAACAAACTGTAACATCATATTTTGTAACTATGTTTCTGGCAAATAAAAACAGCATTGGAAATTACAATAGACATAGATATATACAAAGGCTTCACCGCGTCGAGAGGTAAAAAAGTAATATTGCAGAGCACGAAACATGAAATGAAATTTTTAATGTGGTTGCCGAATAAACAACGAGGCGGAAAAATATAAATATTTACAGTTAATTAAAGAAAAATACACTTTTAGCAGCGCTGCCAATCTGTGAGAGGAAAATGGAATAAAATAATTTAACAGACCTATCCGTTATTTAGTAATGCGAGTATATTTCACTTGGTTACATAGTTTTGATACTCCATTTATAAAACCAAGTACAATATGAGTATATTGTACTTGGTTTTATAGATGGAGTAAAAATGTGTTTCCATGGTATTTTGTCAGTTAAATAATATGAGTACATTTTACTCGGTTACATTAAATGGAGTCAAAATGTATTATCAATGTATTTCTCCAGTCTAGTACCTAATACGTTTATATTGTACTTGGTTATATAGACAGAGTCAAAATGTGTCACCACTGTGCTTCACCAGTTTAGTAATATTATTATATTTTACTTGGTTACATAGATGAAGTAAAAATGTGTCACCACTGTACTTCTCCGATTTAGTAATATTATTATATTTTACTTGGTTACATAGATGAAGTAAAAATGTGTCACCACTGTACTTCTCCGATTTAGTAATATTATTATATTTTACTTGGTTACATAGATGAAGTAAAAATGTGTCACCACTGTACTTGTCCGATTTAGTAATATTATTATATTTTACTTGGTTACATAGATGGAGTAAAAATGTGTCACCACTGTACTTCTCCGATTTAGTAATATGAGAACAATAAACAGACAAACTAATAAATGAATTAAGAAAAACGCGAAATTATCATGCGTACGCATAAAATTATTTATGGTACAATAAAAAAGTCAGTCAAATTATGAACGTTTCACGTTTTCTCTTAACGATTTTCATTTCCTATGAAATAATCTTAATATACGAGTCAACGGTTAAAATTAATATCATCAGTTTCCTGTGAAGTTCAGCTCTCGTGGGTCGTTAGTAAGTTTCTTGTTCCAAACTGCAGATGTACGTAGTTAAATTTACCGCAAAACGCGGCAAAACTGCCTCAGGTTCACGAATGTTATTTATTTATATGTTTTATATTTATCTTAAGTTATTAATATAAATTAAAATGTAATTAGATTATAATTAAATTTTAATAATAATCGACATGAGAAGTTTTAATAAGACCAATAGAAGCCAAAATAATGATTTTTAAAAATTTTCCGGCATCACGTAAAAACTGCTATAACAAATTGGATGTGGTTATCACAGTTATGTTGTTGTAAGTTTGATTTAAAATTTGCTACAATGTGATACGTTTTCTTTTTTTGAAATCCATGCGTACGAAGTATCAAACAAAAATGGAGTGAGTAAAATGGTACACCAGACGGAGACTTTGTACAAAAGTCGATTGCTTGGGTACCTCTGTCCCATTCGTGTTTCAACTGTGAAGCAGTTGTGTTGGCGTGAATTTACTGGGTACAGAGGAATAACACCTGAGTCCTTAGAAATGGCAAAAGGGGGTATCATGGGCGAAACAGTATACTCTGTTATGTCCATGATACTGCTCATGTCTATAGGCGACGGTTACCACTTTCCATCAGGTGGACCGTCAGCTTGTTTGCCATTCTAAGCCGTATAAAAAAAATATTGAACAACATTGGATATACATATATGAAATTTGCTTGTTTGTCCGAAAACATATTGAATTGTTTGTAATTAAATTCACAAACAGAAGTCAAAGACTACAAAACAAATTAGAAATATCTACACAGAGACTTAACATGTTTCAAAGAAATATAATAGTTATTGCATGGCTATTAAAATATATAATTAATTGTCTAATAATAATAAAAGTTTGACCAACACACAATTTAAAAGAAGACTATTTGACTACCTAATTAATATTTGTTTCTATTCTGTAAAAAGACTTTTTAAATAAATGTAATTTATGATACTTGACACTGTAATAACATAACATTGACTTATTATTCATAATTGTAATTTAAAGTAATTAATTTTGTTGATGTTATTATGAATATTATTTTAGTAATTGTAAAAAAAAAAACATTTACACACCGAAATGGTAAATATTGCAGAACAATTGTAACTTAAGATCTGCTATTGGCGATCACCAATATTTTGTAAATAAATTAAATTATTATATAATAAATAAATAAATATAATAATGTCTGAATCATCATCATCGTCATGTCAGTCATTACCTGTCCATTGCTGAACACAGATCTCCCCTATAGGGTGGTTTTGTCAGTGGTTACTACCAATAACCGCAGTTAGCCTTTTGTGATGTTTTAAGAGGGACGCTGCTGTCCATCCCATGGAGCATTAAATCCCTTAAGCACCTCTTACAACATCCACGGGAAAGGTAAGGGTGGCATACAGTGCCGGAATCACATGGCATATGTTTAATATACAATATTAATTCATAGGATTCTATGACCATTTCCATAAGACGATTTGAAAGAGACAAGTATATAAAAAATGTTTGACTATATAAAAAATTAGAAATGTTAGTTGAAAGAGTCGGCACAGATAAAGTCAGGAGAAGCGGCTAGTTCATATAATAATAATACCAATTATAACAGGGAAATATGTATTCTTTAATAACAATCGTAGATGGAGGAAAACAGTAAGGAAACAGTCACAAAATGCAGTCTCAGGAAAACCTAACATTACTCCTTGTATTGTTTTATTGTTAAGTGAATATCACTAATAACTGTGTTTACCACAAATCGACATCAATTGTGGGGAAAACCGGTTAGGTTGATTTAAAAAATAAATCACTGAAAAAATTCCTGTAGAAACAATCTGTAAGTGTATCCTTTCAGATAAAGAAAACAATTTTTCAAATTGGTTGTCTACTGACAGAGTTATAAGGTAACGAACATAAACAATACAACCGAGTTAAGAACCTATTTATTTTTGAAGTTGGTTAAATATCACATTATTAATATGATTGACGACTTTGGTAGTAGGCAATTCTTTATTCTTTATTGTACACAAAAGGTTATTGAAATGTAAAAACAAATATAATAGTGCACAAGGGTGAGCTTATCTCCAATAGAGATTTCTTCCAGCAAACCCAATATGAGAAAAGTGACAATTCATTAGTAGTTACAGTCATACATGTGTACCAATCGACTTAAATGTTATAGTTAAAAATAAATAAATAAAATGTCTTTACAATCATAAAGACCGATAGGTATAAATAAAAATATATATATAAGTAAATATATATAAATAGATAGATATATATTTTATTTTGATTTTTAATTTGACGGTTACTGGTTCAATTCCCGTACAAAAGTTTTATAGTAAGCAAATAACAACAACTTAACATTAATAATATTTACATGATATTGTAGTATTTTATTTAACTAGGTGTTATTTTTAACATATATAATCCTCTATTTTATATCTTTGAGTGGCAAACAAGCTGACGCCCCACCTGATGAAAAGTGGTAACCGTCACCTATAGACATGAGCAGTACCATGGACATAACAGTGTATACTGTTTCGCCCATGATACTCCCCATGTGTTGCCACTCCTAAGGACTCAGGTGTTATTCCTCTGTACTCTGTAAGCTCACTGCCATATCTTGCCCTTCAAATCGAAACACAGCTATGCAAACATAACTGCTTCACGGTAGAAACACGAATAGGATTGAGGTGCCTAAGCAAACGACTTTTGTACAAAGTCTCTCTCTGGTAGATGTTGTTACAGTTTCGTGTCAATATACACACTAGTAAGAACTTTAAGTGAAGACTAGCTTTTAGTTTAAACACCTTTATACCCGCAAAAACTATTACAGTTCTTATTAAATGCCTGTACTAATGACTGAAGGAACTGAGGAAAAGATTTCAAAGTTACAAATAAAATGCAATATAGCAAAACAGCTAAGATCTAGCCTTCGACAAGACTATATTACAAAGATTAATAGAACCATGATTAACTTGACCGGTATTGAAATATTAATAATATTTTTTATTTTTTTATAAAAAAAAAAAGAAAATAAAAAAGCTAGACTTAAGTTACATTATATGGTATGTCGCAGCATGGGAGCCAACTAAGTCCATGGCCAAATTTTACTTACATTTTTAACAAAAAAGTAAAAAAAACTTGAATAGAACTTAATTATATTAAAGAGGTAGAGGTCTGAATGTTAATTATATTGTAATTCTATTAATTAAAAAACAAACAGGTAAACAATGTATATCAATTTTGTACTAGATCTTTACATCCTAACTAATAGCTAACAAAAATTATGTAATAAATATTCGGCCATTCACATTATTGTCTATATACGCCTTGCCGAGTTTTTTTTCCAAGAGACTACACATGGGGTTCTTAAAAAAGGGCATAAAGAAGTTTCTTTAGGTAACCGCTTACCATCAGGTGAGCCGTATGCTTGCTTGCCACCTTGGTGGTATAAAAAATGCGCATATTCTAAAGACGAGTTAAAATTAGCTATTGTTTAACATCATGCCCTTCAGTGGAGAAGTAGTAAACACCTTTCGCGGTACCAGGGTTCCAGAAGCCGGCCATAGTAACATCGTTTCTAGAACAGCCTCCTTTCTTATAATCCTTGTACGTATCACATTTATGTGCTATGAACCACTCAGGGTGATTAACAGTAGCTGTATACATGTCAATACACATCCTATGGTTACATTTGGCTGCTTTCGAAGAGTCAAATATACCAGGGATCCATGGAGTTCCACAATTAGGTTGCGCAGCGCCCTTTTTATTGACAAAAAAATCAATATCTCCCAATACGCTGGTCGTTCCTAAACCACCAGCATTACAATGGTATACCTCTACGTAGTCAGCCACTCCTGATCTTACTTGTTCTTGGATTAGACTGTTGGAGAAACATGGTCCGGCGGGATCTAAAGCGGTGATTCTGGAAATTTTCTCACCAGTCAGATTCGTGAAGATTTCACCCGTCTGCCCGAGCATTTGGCTACCCAAACTGTGACCAATACAATGCATGTTCTTAGCAGATATCCCGTCTTTTTTCAACCCTGATAACATGTTAGCCAGCGCTTTCCCTATGTAGTAAACATACTGGACGGAGCGTTCGTAGCTTTTGATGTAACCCTGCTTATCGTTGGTGTACTGGGAGTGATCTAAAATGATCAAGTAACTATTGGGATAATTTCTAAACGTGTTCCTAACTTGCTCTTCAGTTTTCTTTGTGATCTTCGACTTGTATCCCGGGACGAAGATAATGAATTTCTTGACCTTGTCCAGTTCAGGTGTAGCGAGGATTCCTTGGGCAGCGTTGTCTATGGCGTAAGTCCCCACATGGTTTCTTGAGAAGTCGTAGAAGTAAACGTCTATGCCACTGACGTCTAGGTTCAGTGTTCTGTCGTGATTACCTGGAAGTAAAAATTTTGTACATTATTATTTTTAATAGATTAAGTGATACCCGGAAAAGTCAAAGTAGTATTGTAATGTATTGTTTTCGATTGTTTTCGAAAATTTACACAAATTTTTACACAGGTGTAAAATTTGAACACCTGGTCATGCATAAACAAACATGGAAACGTATAAAACATATTATTATTTTGAAACCATAGATAAATCTAAATTTGTTCATAATTTATAGATATCTACATTATTGATGTAAACAAACAAATGTTTTTTTTTATTTAATCACAATTCAATATATATATATATATATATATATATATATATATATATATATATATATTGGTATACACGTACAATATAGGATAGAGAAGGATAAAGGCTACTTTTATCCCAGATCAGTATACATATCTCTGTCACGGGAACGAAGAAGCTGGTAAAGTAAATGTATATAAATAGTGGGTTAGTTTATATCAGTCTTTGGGGTCTACCATGAAGTCTTATTATAATTTTGATGTATTTTATTATTAGAATTCCGACAATAAAATGATAATTCTATTTTAAATGATAGTTAAGGTCGTAATTAAAATTTTTGCAAATCAAATTCCAGGTATATATCTGTATAAGATATAACATACGTTAACATACGTGTAACTTAGAGTAACATACGATTACGTATATATCGTATGTTACTCTAAGACCAGGACACGAAGAAGAGTTTCAAAATAAGAAATAAAGCCATTTCAACCAATATTATTATTAAGAAAGTTTTTATACTTATGAAAAGATTTGCTGTGAAATAGTAACACCTTTTTGTATTTTTTTAGTGGATAATAATGGATGGCCCGCCCGCGCTAATGGTATACCAGTGAGGGATGACAGATGAGAATGAAAAGGCAGGTCAGTTAGCCCATCGTGATGAATACATCTAGGATTCAGCACGATGGTCTCCAAAGGGGACCACGTGGAGGTCGACCTGACAGGGTATATTGCTAGAAAAAGGACTGGTAGTCCGCATTATTAACAATTCCTTCCCCCCACCTTTCTGTATTGTCGCTGATAGCTAACTAGATAACGGTTATTATGGCCTATGTTTGTATAGTTTATCTTTCTGTATGCAATATATACAAATAGATAAGCTAAGAATAGTATGTGTGGTGGAAAGTATGTTCAAATATCATTTCTAATATTAATTATTTTAATTTGAATAAAAATGAAAATATATTTACTATTTTTAATTTTAAAAAATAATTAAAATATATTATTTTTAGGAAAATAAATTTTGTTTTAAAAAAACAATTTGCCATCAGCGGGTCTACCATGAAATGTAATTCCGAAATTTCGGACTTAATTTCGTGTTTTTGTTTATACCAAAATCGGATCAATAAATGGAATTTAACATTTAGTTCGTGATACATCCTATCATAAAAGTCCAAAGGAACAATATTTTAGCATTTTTAATATTTCCAAACGGCATGTATTATGTAATTTTAACATCAAATTTGTGTTTCGTATGGCTCCGAAATTTCGGAAAACATTTCATGGTAGGCCCTCAAGCTTCAATGGTTGGACGGATTTGTATTAAATTTGGTATACAGATATTGTCTAAAGTAACCCATGGATATTTGTTTATCCTAATTAAATTGACCAATGCCTGATATTAGGCGTATTGCACGCGCAAAAAATATAGTCAAATTAAGGTCGTTTATATAAGAAACTAATCAAATGAAGCACTTTTTTATTCTTTTATTCGATGCGTAATATTCTTTTAATAATTTTCTCCTAACTTTAGTTTATGTTTTAAAATTTCTTTCAAAGGAAATAAAAAAAAATGACAATTTTATTCAAGTAAACTTGGATTTGAAAATTTTTGAATAGTATTTTTTTAGCGCCCATTCAAATTACATAAAGTTTAATTAAAATGATACGACAATTAATCAAAAATCCATAAAAATTAGTAGGTACTGATTAGAATTCGATATTGACTATTTTTTAATTAAAGGTAATTTTTTTATATAAAAATAATATAAAAATTACAATTATTTTAAAAAAATAAAATAACAGTGATCTATTTTTAATATAATGACAAATAAAAGTTTTTTTTTCAAAAATAAAATAAAAAAATAAACTTACATTTAATTAGGTTCGAACGCAACGCTAATTGGAACGGACCATATTTTTCTAAGTCCCCGCGACCCCAACCGTGAACAGAAACAAATAAACACAACAATAAACCAATTACTCTCATTGTAATAACAAAAAACACATCGCACGAGTAGGCAGATTACCTTCAACTAAACGAATTGAATGAGTATCGTTCATTACCAGTCGGTTATGAGATCAGCTGGACGTAGGTGATGTCGGAATACGTATGCGGTCACACCACATAATACTCTGTGACACGTTACAGTGTAAAAATATCAGTGCCACAATAGCACAAATTTGTACAATACTCGTTTCAGTATTTTTTTTAAATGGATGATAATGGAATGGTAACCCCGTCTGCGCTAACGGTATACGCCGGCGGGGTACCAGTGAGGGATGATAGGCGAGAATGAAAGTAGGTCAGTTAGCCGATAGTGATAAATTTATAAGACATAAAAAAAGTAATAATAGAAAGGATTTGTTATGCTAGTCATATCGTCTTGACACACTGACTATTACATTGTCTGTGGCGTCAATGACATGTTGTGAAAGTAAGTCGGCAAGTAATTTACTATGAACAGATTTGTTATGCGCGTCATACTGTAGTCATACTTTTTAACGCATTGATAATATTGATAACGGCCACCTACATATAATATAAAAAAAAATAAAAATAAAATCAATTCAAATTTCGAAATCAGTTTGAATCAGAAACATTTTTTAATTCTTGTTTATTCTGATATAATGAAACATAGACTGTAGGTATTGCGTCTGTTCATATCTAAATCGGCTCTTCCATTTTATTCGTTATATGAATTCTACCATAAAAGTCCAAAGGAACGATATTTTAATATTTTTAAACAATATGTATTATATTATTTTAATATCAAATTTGAGTATCGTTCGGCCACGAAATTTTGGAAAAGATTTCGTGGTAGGTCCTTTGGAAGTGCAATCACAGAGACGCAACCAAAAATCTATTACAATAGTGTGTGTGATTCGATTATACTCATATATGTAATGTAAATGTGTGTTTCCGAATTCAGTTCTGAATTTGCAAGGAAATAATAAAATCATCATCAACAGATGATTATTTTATAAACAGGGTATTTACCCCGGCCCAATTGTTTGCACTTGGTTGACTCACTATCGTGTTTGATAGTGTCCGCCATCTTGAGTTGAGATAAAAAAAGGACATATTCATAATTCCTTATCTAAAATGTTTACCTCTATAAATCATTTTAGAGATTATGATGAGCCATAATAAATATATGTATAATAAAATGGAAAGGATAAGAAAGCTAAAGTAGCAATGGGCTGGTCACATAGCTCGAAGAACCGACAACCGATGGAGAAGAGTGGTGACCGCGTACGGGCAAACGCAGTGTAGGACAACCCCCCCACTAGATGGAGTGACGACCTGAAATGCATTGCAGGGAGTCAGTGGATGTGGGTGGCTCAGGACCGTTCTTTATGGCGGTCTATGGGGGAGGCTTATGTCCAGCAGTGGACGGATAATGGCTGAAATAATGATGATGATGATGAAAGAGGAAAGATTTGATTTATTTGTTTTATTGATATATTGATTGAATAAATTCTGACTGCGAGAAGGTCATTATGACATACATTACTAGCAATGGGGCTGGTAGTCCCTTTATTATTTACAATCTAGTGTTAAGCCGCATTTTGTACCAGACATTTTTTTGTAATGTGGTCAATAAAGAATAAATAAAGAAGTAAAAAAGTAAGTAAATAAATATGTTAATAGGTAAGTAAATAGTTAAGTAAATAGGTAAGTAAATAGTTAAGTAAATAGGTAAGTAAATAGTAAAGTAAATAGGTAAATAAATAAGTAAGTAAAGAAGTAAGTAAATAGGTAAGTAAGTAAATAAATAAATTGATCGACCAATCAATCAATAAATCGATTACTAACAATCCCTTCCCCCTCCAAATAATAAATGTGTTGTGCCGCTGTAAATACTAGTTTTTTTTTTTTATATTATTTTAAGGGCTTTTACCTTCTTCAGGTGTATCAGTCCTATCGTACCCTGAACTGATTTCTCAAACAAAACTTTATCTACCTTCCCTAGACGCGGAAAGAGAAGAATTAATGGGCATCAATAATTTACAGAGATGTTCAAAAATTTCTGGTTTAAGTTCAGCTAACATAGGTAAATACTAGATATTACAGGAAAGATCGCTACGTTTCCTTTAACGTTTAGGATTCACTGAATGTGTACCGGGATTGCCCCGAGTACAGGAAATTTCAATTCGTCAACCACGTAATTGTATTGTGTCGTAGGTTTGTGTATGTGTGCTCTGCTTATTTACAAAGACAACGGATATACCAGGGGGAAAGGGATTGTTAGTAATGTAAGTAATAAATACACCCTGTCAGGTATCACCAGAGGGAGACTGTACAAAAGTCGTTTGCTTGGGCACTTCTGTCCTGTTCGTGTTTCTACAGTGAAGCAGTTGTGTTTGCATGGCTGTGTTTCGGTTTGAAGGGTGGGATATGGCGTGAATTTACAGTGTACAGAGGAATAACACCTGAGTCCTCAGGAATGCCAATGCATGGGGGTATCATGAACGTTACTCTTTAGTAATTTTTTATATTCTTTATTGTACACAAAACATACTGTTAATCACAATTCATTATAAATATAATGTACAAAGGCGAGCTTATCTCTAATAAGAGATTTCTTCCAGCAAAACCTTTCCATGTTAATTGTGATATTTTAAAAATAAAAATATATTGTTATTATTATTATCAGTTGTTAATTATTTAATATTGAATGACCTCCATCCTAATCGTGGTTATGTCAGTAGTTGCCACGCTTGGTAAGGGTCGCTGCTGCTCTCTATCTATCGACCACCTTACAACACCTACGGGAAAGGAAAGGGTGGCCCATTCTATGTCGGGACCACATGGCATATTAGTAATTTTTGCAAACCTAATATAAATAAACAAAGACATGATTCTTTGGTTGCGACTGTAAATTGACAAAAGAATGGCGTCTTTTTAAAGCCACAAACGACCCAATACTTCGTGAGTATTTTTTATCATTTAGCTTGTCTCATAATAACAGTAAAAAAATGTCTTGCATTTAATTCAAAAACCACTGCATACTTTTTTTTTTTAATCAAAATAAAATAAATATTTTTTTAACTTTACTTTCTGTATACAAAATAATAAACATATGATTCAATTCTAGAAGTATACTCAACAAAAATATCCAACGAGGTTGTAACTAAATGAGACACTCATTAAAACTTGCTGAGGCATCCTTCAAGCTGTCACTGCTTCAAGATACTCCGTAAACTTATTAATTAAAATTACACTGCCAGTTCCGTGTTGGTGGTTCGAACAATGCACGGTACTGAACCGGCAGTCTATATGAAACATTAGGTAGTGTATCTTAGTGAGGTACTTTTAGGACATCGATGTCTATATCCACTTAGTCAGATCTTGTCTCAGGGAACTGTCTGCAACTTTTGTAAGTCTGTAATTTAAAAAAAGTAGAAAGAAAAAGAGTTGTTGTACAATATATACGACAACACCCAAAAAAATTATTAAAAATTATAATAAACTGCAAAATTAACTAGATTCTTTCCAAAAATAAAAAGTAATCATTAAAATCGGTTCATAAACGACGAAGTTATTTGCGAACAAACATAAAAAAAACCTTGTTTTCTTTGTGAAGTCGGTTAAAATGAAAATGCATATTATAGCAGTTTCAGCAAGGATGAGTGTGTGACATGAAGCAAAAAATAATGTTTTAAATTTTATTTTTCCTTCATATTAACAATAGCAACAGGTACTCTGTGGTTTTTTGCTATTAAGTATATCTTGAAAGCGTACAAATATTAGGATACAGAGCTCCTAGCCTCCAAGATATAGGTCTGACCTACTTTGAGTACTGTTTTTTTTTATACAACTTAGAATGGCAAACAAGCTGACGGCCCACCTGATGGAAAGTGGTAACCGTCACCTATAAACATCAGCAGTACCATGAACATAACAGAGTATACTGTTTCGCCCATGATACCCCCCATGGGTTGCCATTCCTGAGGACTCAGATGTTATTCCTCTGTACTCTGTAAATTCACGCCACTGATGATGGTAATGTAAGTTTAATGATGTAATTTTTTTTTTATACCACTGAGGTGGCAAACAAGCATACGGCCCACCTGATGGTAAGCGGTTACCGTAGCCTATGAACGCCTGCAATACCAGAGGTATTACGTGCGCGTTGCCGACCCTGAAGAAACCTCTTTACCCCCCTTTTGAAGAATTCCATGCTGTAGTCTCTCGGGAAAACCTCGGCAGGGAGCTCATTCCATAACCTGAGTGTTCGTGGGAGAAAGCATCTCTGAAACCGCGTTGTACGCGACCATTTAGGCTGTAAGGTATGAGGGTGAACTCCCTGCCGATGGCGAGCCGTACGATGATAGAAAGTGGCCGTAGGCATCATATTGAATAATTCCTCTGAGCACAATCCGTTGTATAAGCGGTAGAACACGCAGAGTGAGGCAAAATCTCTCCTAAGATTTAAGGGTTCGATACCGCTTGCAAGCATGGGATCATCGACAATTCTCATAGCTCGTCGTTGCACTGAGTCAAAGGGGTCGGATTTGCGATTTGTAAAGCATTAATCGCTGATCCGGCGTGAAGTAATGCTTCGCTCTATTGAGCACACCGAGTTTTTTGGATGCCAGCTTCACCTTATCTTCGAGGTGGCCACGGAACTGTACGTCACTAGAAATGTCGACACCAAGGATCCCAATGCTTTTAGAGATGTTAAGAGACGTGCCTTGGAACTGTGGGGCCACAGCAAATGGGGTTTTCTTAGCGGTGAACGCGCAAGCTTGTGTCTTAGAGGGGTTAAATTGGACCAAGTTTTGTCGTCCCCAATCAGAGACTCCAGTTAGTGTTCTCTCGATTTCAGACACAAGCTGTTCACGATTGTTCTCCACGATGGAACGGGAGACATTTGTACGACCCGTATAAAGGACATCCCCGGTGCTGTTATCTGCATAACAATGAATGCTACCGAAGGTTAACATATCATTAATATGCAGTAGAAACAGCGTTGGGGACAGCACAGAGCCCTGCGGGACGCCAGCGTTAATATCCATGCTATTGGAGCAGCAACCATCTACAACGGTTTTTATACGTCTGCCGGATA